ATTTCATTTTAAACTTCTCATTTACTATTTTATATTACAAGGTTTCCCTCTGTTGCCCAGGTTAGAGTGCAATGGCACAATCTCGGCTCACTGCAGCCTTGATCTCCCTGGCTCAAGTAATCCTCCATCTGTAGCCTCCCAAGTAGCTAGGACTATAGACCATGCCTGGCTAATTTTTCTATTTTTTTTTTTGTAGAGACAAAGTTTCACCATGTGGCCCAGGCTGCTCTTGAATTCTTGAGTTCAAGTGATACTCCTGCCTCTGCCTCCCAGAGTGTCAGGCCTGTGCCACCATGCCCAGCTCATTCATTTTTCTTTCTTTTTCTTTCTTTCTTTTGTAGAGATGAGGTTTCACCATGTTGCCCAGGCTGGTCTTGAACTTTTGAGTTCAGGTGATACTCCTGCCTTTGCCTCCCAGAGTCCTAGAATTATAGTGTGTGGCACCGTGCCTGGGCCTCATTTACTATTAACTTTAGTTTCCTAAGATCCAGCAAAATTATTTCCCACATATGTTTCTTAAGAATGAAGAATACAAAGGAGAGGGTTTTGCCCATCTCTACTTGGGATAGATATACTGTCCGGAGAATACTGAAAGGAGTATTCCAAACTCTTGTTACTGAAGCCAACTGTCTACCTCTAAATTCAGCAAGAGCTGAGGGAAAAGGTATACCTCAAAATCTTAAAATAGATTGGGAGATTTGATAAGTAAAGAAAGATTATGAATTCCTAAACAGACTAATCTTTATTTGATACTAGGGTTTCCTGCTGATACATATATGATTTAATTACATTCCATAGCAAAAACCAATCCTGAAAACAACAATCTATAATTGTAGTTCTAGGTTGAGTAAATTTTGTGCATCTCTTACAACTATGATGTTGACCTACAGCCAAAGAAAGGTTATTGGAGGTCTCCAATAGTTATCATTTTGGGAAAGGATATGAATGGCAATCACAAAAAATAGTATATCTTTGGTAGTTGAGCAGCTAAAACCTTCAATTGGAGGGAAATCTTCCCACTTTCTTGTACCAACCTGTTCGCTGAACTAGGCTGAAATCCTCTGTACAACATCTCTGAAAAAAGCCAATAGAGCCACTGCTTGGATACTTCAGCCAGTTCAATGGCTGAATATTGTTAAAGGCTGTCTGACCCCTTCTAACCTTTCACCTATTGGCCTTAGTTTTGACAAGTAATATCTACGTACTCTTTGTGATTCTTCCACATGTGAAGACAGTAACATGGTGTAGTCTTCTTCCATCTCTAGAATAAGCAGCACAAATTTTCCTATCTATGCTTGTGCAATAAATTTCAGATGCTCTGATTCTACTTTCCTCCTCTGGATAAAAAAAAAAAATCCCTTATACTTGATTCACAGACTTGAATATAATAATCCAAGTTCGGTCTAACTGGTCCAATGTATATGGTTCAGTAGCATACTCATACTAACAGTAACATAACATACTATAAATATAAAACAAGTGTTACCTTGTTTAGTAGGACTCTACAATGCAAGCTCCTATCCTGCTCCAAGAGTTCTAAGATTGTAAGGAATGCCACATATTTTTTTCATTTCTATGATGGGCATAAAGATGACTTTCTCCCCAAGTTTGTGTCACTTCTTTACTTTTTAGAAGTAAGTTCAGAGAAGCAGTCTTCTTTACTGAAATTTGCTGTTTTCTAGGGCATTAACTTGTTAAGAATCCCAGATACTTTTGCTTTTAGTAAAATTAGAACAACACCTACCCTACTACCACCAACTTGCCTCTACAAGTTCTATTATGTGCTGCCAAAAAATCATTCCTATCTTGTGTATGTATGTCTGTGTATGGTGGGGGGCAAGTGGCAGGCAGACTGAAAAGGAAACAATTTTCAGTCATTTTTCTCCTAAGAAATTACTTCTTTAATATTTATCTAGAAGAAAAGCATGCAATCTAGTTCAATAATAAAAAAAAAACACCTAGGAGTAGAAAATTTCTGTTCATGTTGACTATCTTTTTCATTAACAGAACTTAATTGTCTTGGTGCTGGCAACTGATTATTTTTCTAATTGAACTAACTTTTTTGAGGATGAAATTAAACCAAATTTTTTCTAAACTGATTTTCATTTTTTGTGGTCTGTGTGCACCTCTCAGTCCTAATATTACTTGGGAATCAAAACAAAACGACAAAAACATGCCTTCCCCCAATAAAACCTCCAAACTTTAATCAGCTAAAAAATTTTTTAAAATAATAATGTCCCCCAGCCTCTCCAATAGCTCACCCTATGATTGATGTACAAACACAGGAAACTGCTTGGTCAGGCAGTTATATAATACTACCACCTATGTTGAACTTCCAACAGCATGCTTGCAGGCACATTAAGATGACAGATAACTCACTACCTACCTACAAGAGATTACACAGTGTATTCTCCACATATTGAGTGAAAAGTTAGTTGGATGCACTTAAAAAACTTCTCTCTGATAAACCTAAAATTTAGATTAAATTTACAAAGACAATTTTTTAAAAAGTTTCTTATATGCCTGGATTTAAGTACAGGACTTTACAAGTTCTGGTTGAATGAAGATTCCCCGCCCCCCACCCCTGTTAATTTTTATTATTCCCCTTTCATACCTGTAACTATTAATCTTATAACCTACACCTGATAATTTGGGTAAGTTGTGAGGGGTGGGTGGTTTCCAAAATATTAAGTCTTCCATTTCAACTTGAACAAACAAAATGAAATCTATGTAAAAAAATGCTCTGAAATGTTGGAACAGAACTGAGGGTAGGAAGTTAGAGAAGGAACAAGGTCACTGAGCTAATACCCATAACCTTACACCTCTAAATATTACTATTTTCAGATATGAACTCATTAATATACCAAATTCTTGAAAGGTAGCAACTAAGATCTTTCTTGGCTATTTTTATCCCACAGATCAAATGAACAGACTTTAAGTAACCCTACCCTTTGGCTTATGTATCAGTTGGTGGTGATAGTTTGCCAAATCAGTTGTTTAAATGTTGACTAACTACATGGTCAAACAGGACAATCTGAATTGGCTGAAGAACAGCAGCACTTACCATCAAGATTTTGGGTAAAATTTCGGCTAACTAGGTGTGATTTGACTTAAGTATTCTTCCTTCTCTTTCTATTGCCCAGAAACTGTTTCTAGTTCTCCGACTAGGTTCCCTAGACTTTCTTTTCTTAAAAAGACTCCCCAGTAGAAATTCCAATAAAGATGCAATTGATCAAAAAAGCATACCTCCTGGTAGTGTTTACATTTAAAACCCGGAACAGGGTAAACCGAACAAAACTCCAATTGGTAGAAAGTGTAAAAGTAATGTTTGTGAAAGAGGAAATCTTCCTCACTGCTCCTTTTCTCTTCATCAATCTAGCCCCAAAAGAACAGAAACACTTTAAAAGGTATTCCCTGCTTTTTCAAAAAAATTGTTTTTAACAATCATGAAATACACAAAACAAAAAACCAGGATGGTCGGAGGTAAGAGGAGGTACTCCGATTTTCAATCACACATGGCTCACCTGAAGTTAGAAACTGTCATGATCTTTTCTACAAGTGAAAAATATGTATGCTTTATGGGAATAAGCTGACTATCCCATCTCTGGTTCTTTTAAATTCTTCGACTAAATTTAATATGCTTACATCATAAAGTGAACCTAATAAATATTAAAAGAAAGTAATTCAAACGATCTAATTCTCAAAATGAAGCAAGGTTAGTTTCAGCTTATATTCTAGATCCAAGCTAAAGTACTTGCACCATCTTTTCTACTATACTACTACTTTCCACCTCAACTTGTGTGTGTGTGTCAAAGACTTCCCGCACCCAGCCTAGTCAGATTTCAGTTCTCCCAAACTTGCCTATTTCCAGTTGTAGTCACTCCAGAAACTTGCTGATTGGCTATTCTGATAAATCAATTAACGCTAATGTGTCAATGGCCTATTAAACTACTCCTCCGAAATTACATCCTTGCATTTTACAAAGTCCTTCAAGACCTTAATCCAAATGGAACTTGCCAGAATGAAAAATTTTGGAGGTAACTGATCGTTTAAATCATAGGTCTATTTACTAAAGTCCCCTACTCTTTCTTGTGTGTAGACGCCTTCTAGGGTAACAAGACCGGAAGTTGGTACAGGTATTGTAGCAACAAAACAAAGCCAAAACCCCAAACCACCCTCCACCCTCGGCAAAAACAAAATAAAACAAACCAAAAACTTCCAGTGAGTGTGGCACGCTCACCCAACCCCCCAATCTCCCCAGTCCCCACTGGAAGAGAGGGAGATCACCAGGACCACAGTCCTTAGGGGACAGGTCGAGGAGTGGAGGAGCACTGGTTTCAGGCCTACGAGCCCCGGATGCGCAGGTGGGGTCTAGAGCGAGGCGAGGGGGCGCTGGCCCGGGTTACCTGCGGCGAAGTGCAGTGGGGTGGATTTCCTGCCCGCCGTGTCGCGGCTGTTCACCTTCTCCGGCGTCACCAGCCTCTTGACTCGCTCCACATCCCCATTGCGGCACGCCTCGAATAGCTCTCGGGCAGCCGGCTCCATTGCCTCGGCCGCCGCACTCGCGCAGGCCGCTCCCCCGCCCGCGCAGCGGCGGCCCGACATGATCCTGGCCGCCGCCGCCGCCAGCAGCAGCGCCAGCAAGGGCAGTAGGAGCCCCGGCCCCACGAGCAGGAGGGCGAGGCCCCCCGGAGGAGAGGCGCTCAGGGCCCGGGCCGGTTGGCTCCCTGCTGTCACCGGATCCGGCGCAGTCCCATGGCCGCGCCGACGCGCGCCCTTAGCTCGGCTCCCTTCCCCCAGCTGCCCTGCAGCTGCGGAGGCAGCGCGAATCCGCCGGCCGAGCCCTGAAGCGACGCGGCCGCGGAAGGTGGCAAGGTCCCTCCTGCCAGCTCCGCCGAGCCCTGGGAGAGCACGTGACGTTGTCCCGCGCGTGCGCAGTAACCGGGAATCGGCCGTGCAGGTTTCCGCGAGCTGGGCTGCGCGGAAGGGTTTGTGGGAAATATGTAGTGACGGGCTTCGCAGAAGGGGCTTCGTCCCATCGCCATCTTTGCGGTGGGTTCTGCTGAAGCTGAACGGTCCTGCATATTGTTTATTTTTTTAAGCCCTGGGCTTTTCAAGCTGAACTTCCTCACTACCATTATACTGAAAAAGAGCCCTTGAAAGTTTTGCTCCATCTTGCATATTCTTTTGGAAGTAAATTGTACGTATTTTCAGCTTCTACATCCATTTTTTTTTCTTTACTGTGTCTCTTTTCTTTCCTCCTCAACTGCTTTGTTGTTGTTGTTTCTTGTGAAACATTTCTCAAAAGTGAACGAGTTGCCATTTAATTAGAAGTTTGGATGAATTGCCCCCAAAATAAAGGAAATCAGAACATATATGAAAGTTGACTCCAGTTGGGGGGATGGCTCTGATCAATTACTCTTTCCTTAGTAAGTTATTAGCTCAGGTTTGATTAGAGGAACTTTATGTAAATCAGTATTGTACCCGACAAGCCTGAAGTTTGGATACACTGGGCATATGCATCTCCAAGAAAGTTTTCTGAGTTGTAATTTTTTTCTTTGGCCAACAAATCAAAGAAAAGCACGTAATTGATTTTCATGATTAAGGTAGTGGGGTAGTTTTATACGCTGATTCCCCATTACACTCCCTTGTCTTAAAAAACGGAAACTATGCATATACATACATTTTACTTACAGAAGATGATACAGGTTGACCTTTGGCATTCTGAAAAACATACCGCCCCCCCCCCCCCCCCCGCCTTAACCTGTTTTTCAGGAAATCCAGTTTTTGTTGGGGAGTGTTGACTCACTACAGTGCTAAAAGAGGATGTACACTTTTTTGAGCATTTTTATAAATATGGAATTGAAGTTATGGTAGATATCAATAAAGTGAATATGCACGAACGCACCTAAGGACTAGAACACTACCAATATGATTGCATTTATCATTTTTCTTTCCATAAATCTGCTATGGTGATCTATGATCAGTGATCTTTGAAAACACTATTGCAATTGTTCTGGGGCACCCCAAACCACACCCATAGAAGACAGCAATCAATCAGTCAATGTTGTGTGTGCTCTGACTGCCCCACCGACAGGCTATTCTGCCATCTCCCTCTCCTTTGGTCTTCTGTTCCCTGAAACACAACAATATTGAAATTAGGTCAGGTAATAACTCTACAATGGCTTCTAGGTATTCAAGTGAAAGGGAAAGTTGCATATCTCTCACTTTAAATCAAAAGCTAGAAATTATTCAGCTTAGTGCAGAAGGCATGTTGAAAGCTGAGATAGGCCCCCTTGCACCAAACAGCCAAGTTGTGAATGCAAAGGAAAAAATTTTTTAAAGAAAATTAAAAGTGCTATTCCAGTGAACACACAAAGGATAAGAAAGTGAAACAGCCTTACTGCCGATATGAAGAACGTTTGAGTGGTCTGGATAGAAGATAAAACCAGCCACAACATTCCCTTAAGCCAAAGCAGAATCCAGAGTAAAGCCCTGACTCTCTTCAATTTTGTGAAGGCTGAGAGATGAAGTTGCTAGAGGCATGTTAGAAGCTGGCAGAGATTGGTTCATGAAGTTTAAGGAAAGAAGCTGTCTTTATAATGTAGAAGTGTAAAGTGAAGCAGCAAATGCTGATGTAGGAGCTGCAGCAAGTTATCCAGAACATGGGTCACCAACCTCAGCCCTCGGGAGGTACTGGTCCCTGGCCTGTAAGGAACAAGGCCACAGAGCTGGAGGTGAGCAGAGAAGGTGGGGAGTGGTGGGGTGGGGGGTGGATGGAGGGGATGGAGTGGGAATAGGCCGGTAGTGAGCATTACTGCTTGAGCTCCTCCTCCTGTCAGATCAGCAGCAGCATTAGATTTTCACAGGAGAGCAAACCCTACTGTGAACTGCACATGTGAGGGATCTAGGATGAGACTCTAATGCCTGATGATCTGAAGTGGCACAGTTTCATCCCAAAATCATTCTCCACCCCCACGCCCCTCCACCCCCACCCCTGGTCCATGGAAAAATCATCCTCCACAAAAACCTGTCCCTGGTGCCAAAAAGGTTGCCAAGAAGATCTAGCTGAGATAATTGATGAAGGTGGCTACACTAAACAATACATTATCATTATAGATGAAAGTCTTCTATTGGAAGAAGATGCTGCCATCTAGAACTTTCACACCTACAGAGGAGAAATCAGTGTCTGGCTTCAAAGGAAAGACTGACTTTCCTATTAGGGGCTAATGCAGCTGGTGACTTCAAGTTGAAGCCAATGCTTATTTACCATTCTGAAAAGCCTAGGGCCCTTAAGAATTATGATAAATCTATTCTGTGTTCTATAAATGGAATAACAAAGTTTGGATTATGGCACATCTGTTTATAGCATGACTTACTGAATATTTTAAGCCTACTGTTGAGACCCATTTATCAGCAAAAAAGGTGACTTTCAAAATACTACTGCTCATTGACATTGTGCCTGGTTTCTCAAGAGCTCTGGTGGAGATGTACAAAGAAATCAATGTTGTTTTCATGCCTACAAACACGACATCCATTCTAGAGATGGATCAAGGAGTAGATGGTTCATGAATCAAGGAGTACTGTCAACTTTCAAGTCTTATTATTTAAGAAATACATTACATAAGGGTACAGCTGCCATAGATAGTGATTCTTCTGATGGACTTGGGTGAAGTAAATTGACAACCTTCTGGAAGGATTCACCATTCTGGATGCCATTAAGATTCATGGGAGGAGGTCAAAATATCAACATTAATAGGAATTTAGAAGAAGCTGATTCCATCCCTCATGGATGACTTTGACAGATTCAGGATTTCACTGGAAGAAGTAATTGCATATGTGGTGGAAATAGCAAGAGAACTAGAGGGGAGTCTGAAAATGTGACTGAATTGTTGCAATTTTATAATACAACTTGAATGAAGGCTGGTATGGTGGCTCAATCCTGTAATCCCAGCACTTTGGGAGGCTGAGGCAGGAGGATTTCTTGAGGCCAGGAGTTTGAGACCAGCCTGGTCAACATAATGAGAATACATCTGTACAAAAGATACAATTAAAAAAATTAGCTGGATGTGGTGGAGTGCACCTATAGTCCTAGCTATAGTGCACCTATAGTCCTAGCTACTTGGGAGGCTGAGATGAGAGGATTGCTTAAACCTAGGAATTTGAGCAAATTGTTTAAACCTAGGTGAGTTGTGATCATGTCACTGCATTCCACTACAGCCTGGGTGACAGAGACCCAGTCTCTGAAAACAAACAAACAAACAAACAAACAAACAAACAGAAAAACCAAGTTGAATGGATGAGTTACTTCTTACGGAGGAAAGAAAAAAAAATTTTTTTTTCACATGGAATCTACTCCTGGTGAAGATGCTGTAAAAATTGTTGAAATGACAACAAAGAATTTAGAATGTTACATAACATAGGTGATAAAGCAGCAGCAGACCTTGAGAGCGTGGGCTCTATTTTTTTGTTTGTTTGTTTTGCATTAAGTTTCAACACACAATAGATTCTAATTTTGCAAGTTCTGTGGGTAAAATGCTATCAAACAGCATTGCATGCTACAGAGAAATCTTTTGTGAAATGAACAGTCAATTGATGTGAGAAACTTCATTTTATTTTCTTTTAAGAAATTGCCATAGCCACCCCAACCTTCAGCAACCATTCAGTCAGCAGCCCTCAGTGTCATTGAGGCAAGACCCTCCAGCAGCGAAAAGATGACGAGTTGCTGAAGGTTCAGATGACTGTTAGCATTTTTTAGCAACAAAATATCTATTTTTAATTTTAAAAATTCTTTGAATTTTTAATTTTTTGGGTACATTGCAGGTGTATATATTTATTGGGTATATGAGAATTTTTGTGGTATTAATTTTAATGACTCATTTTTTACTGCTGATTTTATTTATTTGAATCTCTTTTTCTTAGTCTGCTAAAGATTTGTCAATTTTGTTTATCTTTACAAAAAACTCAACTTTTTTTTCATGGATCTTTTGTGTTCCTTTCTTCATTTCAATTTCATTTAGGGCTGCTCTGATGTTTATTGTTTCCTTTCTTCTAACTTCAGGTTTGGTTTGCTTTTGCTTTTATAGTTTTTTAAGATCCATCATTAAGTTGTTTATTGGAAGTTTTTCTACTTTTTTGGTGTAGGTGCTTACAGGTTTCCATTTTTCTTAGTATTGCTTTTGCTTTATTCCATCGTTTTTGGTATGTTGTGTTTCCATTGTCATTTGTTTCAATAAACTTTTCAATTTCCTTCTTAATCTCCTCATTGACCCACTGTTCATTCAGCTGCAGAGTGTTTAATTTCCATGTGTTTGTATAGTTTCCAAAATTCCTCTGGTTACTTATTTCTAGTTTTATTCCATTGTGGTTAGAGAAGATAGTCGATATTATTTCAATTTTTGAATGTTTTAAGACTTGTTTTGTGGCCTAAGATATGGTCTGTCTTTAGAATGATCCATGTGCTGAAAAGAATGTATATTTTGCAGCCATTGAATAAAAAGTTCTGTAAATGCATATTAGTTCCATTTGGTCTATAGTGCAGATTATGTCTGATATTTATTTGTTGATTTTCTGTTTGGATGATCTATGCAATGCTGAAAGTGGGGGGTGTTGAAGTCTTCAGCTATTATTATATATGTATCTATCTCTCTCTAATAATATTTTCTTTGTGTATCTGGGTGCTCCAGTGTTGGATGCACATATATTTACAACTGTTATATCCTCTTGATGAATTGACCCATTTATCATTATAAAATGACCTTCTTTGTCTCTTTATAGTTTTTGTCTTGAAAACTATCTATTTTGAGTCTGTATGTGTCTTTATATGTGAAATGTGTTTCTTGTGGGCAGATTGTTGAGTTTTGTTTTTTAAATCCATAACCAGACTATTTCTTTTGATTGGAGAGTTTAGTCCATTTGCTATCAATGTTATTGACAAGTAAGGACTTACTCCTGCCATTTTGTTATTTGTTTTCTGGTATTTTCCTCCTTTTTTCCCACCTTCCTATCTTCCTTTTAGTAAAGCTGATTTTCTCTGGTGGTATGATTTAATTTCTTGCTTTTCATCTTTCGGGTATCCATTGCATGTTTTTTGATTTGAGGTTACTATGAGGCTTGCAAATAATATCTTATAACCCATTATTTTAAACTGATGTAATTTAACATGGATTGCACAAACAAACAAAACTAAGAAAAACTCCACACTTTAACTTTGTTCCTTCTTTAAAAAAAATTGTTGTAGCTATTATTTTTGATGTTTATCTTTTAGCCTTTCTACTAAAGATATGAGTATTTTATACATTACAATGATCCTGTTATAATTCTGTGTTTCTCTGTGTGCTTACTATTATCAGTGAGTTTTGTACCTTCGGGATGACTTTTTATTGCTCATTAGCATCCTTTTTTTTCAGACTAAATAACTTTTTTAGCATTTCTTGTAGGATCAGTCTGTTATTGATTAAATCCCTCAGCTTTAGTTTGTCTAAGAAAGTCTTTATTTTTCCTTCATGTTTGAAGGATATTTTTTTGCCAGATATGCTAATCTAGAGTAAAAGGTTATTTTCCTTCAGCACTTTAAATATGTCATACCACTTTCCTCTGGCCTATAAGGTTTCCACTGAAAAGTCTGCTGCCAGGAATATTAAAACCCTTTCACTCTCTCTCTCTTTTTTTCTTCTGCTTTTAGGATCCTTTCTTTATCCGTGACCTTTGAGAGTTTGATTATTAAATGCCCTTAGGTGTCTTCTTTGTGTTAAATCTGTTTGTTGTTCTATAATCATCTTAAACTTGAATATTGATATCTTTCTCTAGGCTTGGAAAGTTCTCTGTTATTATTCCTTTGAATAAATTTTCTAGCCTTATTTCTGTCTCTACGTCCTCTTTTAAGGCTATGTCCTAGGTCTCATAGGTGTGCTTCATCCTTTTTTATTCCTTTCTTTTTGTCTCTTTTGGCTCTGCATTTTCAAATAACCTGTCTCCAAGCTCACTAATTCTTCTTTCTGCTTGATCAGTTCTGCTGTTAAGAGACTCTGATGCATTCTTTAACATGTCAATTGCATTTTCCAACTCCAGAATTTCTGCTTGACTCTTTTTAATTATTTCAATTTGGATTTTGAATTTCTTCTCCTGAATTTATCTTGAATTTCTTTGGGTTTCTTCAACACACTATTTTGAATTCCCTGTCTGAAAAATCATATATCTCTGTCTTTCCAGGATTGGACCCTGGTGCCTTATTTAGTTTGTTTGGTGAGGCCATGTTTTCCTGGATGGTCTTGATTTTTGTGGATGTTTGTCAGTTTCTGGGCATTGAACAGGTAAGTATTTATTATAGTCTTTGTAGTCTAGGCTTCTTTGTACCTACTCCTGGAAGGCTTTCCAGGTATTCAAAGAGACTTGAGTATTATGATCTAAGTTTTCAGTCACTGCAGCCATATCTGCATTAGGGGGACCCCAAGCCCAGTAACTCTGTGGTTTTTGCATATTCACAGAGGTACAATCTTGGTGGTCTTGCATAAGATCTGGAAGAATTCTCTGGATTTTCATGCAGACACTCTTGTTCTCTTACTTTCTCTCAAACAAACACAGTCACTCTATCTGTGCTGAAGCAGGGTTGACACAAGCACCACTGTGATCACTACCACTGGAACTGCGCTAGGTCAGACCTGAAGCCAATACATTACTGGATCTCACCCAAGGCCTACTATACCTGCTCCCTGGCTATAGCCTGCCTATGTTTGCTCAAGGCCCTGGACAAAGCCAATTAGGCTTTTGTCCTTCCCTTCAGGGCAATGAGTTCCCTTGGACCCTAGGTCGGTCCAAAAATGCTGTCTAAGAGAGCATATCTCTCTGTCTAAGAGAGTTTATTTCTATCTATTTATGAATTCTCCCTTACCTTAAGGTTGTAGAAATACTATATTTTCTTCTAAAATTTAAGATTTTTGCTTCTAACATTTAAGTTTTTAATCTTTATGGACTTGATTTTGGGTTATAATGTGATACTCAATTTCTTTTCTTTATTTTGTCCCCAGGATAATAACAAATAGTCTTCATACCATCTAGTAAGTGCTGCCTTTTTTAAGAAGAGAGCTGCAGAGCCACATCAAGCTTCCATATAATCATGAGTCTGTTTCTGGACTATATTTCATTCCACTGATTGATCTATAGATTCTTCCTCCTATACCATACTATCTTAATACTGCTTTATATTAAGTTTTGTTATCTGGTAGGACAAATCTTCCACTATATTCTTCTTTTCTTTTCTTGAGATTTTGATCTCCCATATAAATTTTGGAACCACAGGCTCAAGTTCTTTGAAAACCACATTTAAAGGCTGATGAGACTTGTATTGAATTTTACAGTTCACTATTGCGATTTTGAAGATATTGAGTCCTTTCATCACTGAACATGGCATATCTCTTCATTTATTTTCTTCTTTAAAGAATTTCAGTGAAGTTTTACAGTTTCCTTCATATAGGTCTCACACATCCTGGCTAATTTTTATATATTTAATAGAGATGGAGTTTCACCATATTGGTCAGGCTGGTCTTGAACTCCTGATCTCATGAACTGCCTACCTCAGCCTCCCAAAGTGCTGGTATTAGAGGCATAAGCCACCATGCCCAGCCGAAATGCTTTTTTTCTGCACTGATTGAGATGTGTTATTTTTCTTTGTTTTGGTCACATAATCAATTATATGTATGGATTTTCTAATGTCAAGCCAATCAATAATTTAAATTTGTTTCCACAAAGTAAACATTGAGCCCAGAGAATTGCTCAGAAAAATTCTACCAAACTGTCATTGAATGAATTATTCCAATCTGGTCCAAACTCTTCTAGAGACTAGAAAAAGAGGAAATACTCTCTAAGTCTACGAAGCTAGTATAACCAAAGCAGACAAAGACAGAAACAAGAAAGAGAAATTACAGGCCAATTTCACTCGTGAACATAGACGTAAGATTCCTGAGTAGAATACTAGCTAACAGAATCCAGAGAAGATTGTGTGGAACCAGTGGGTACTTGCAGCAAACACCCCAAACAAACAAACAAACAAACAACAAATAACTCCAGGGATACTTACACATATAATTAAAGCAACTATAGGACTGACTCTGACAAGTAGTTTTCTTAACTTTAAACAGAATACTTTCCCTTGCCAACATTTATTTTTCTCTTCTTTATAAAGGGAATTGAACAGCTTGGACTTGGAGACTGAGTTAAAACAGAAATAAGAAGGCGGCAAAAAAAGACTATACCAGATTGAAATGTGTTGGATATTCATATCACCCAGCACCTCAGAATGTGGCCATGGAGGATGGAGGCAGAGATTGAAGTGACGCATCTTCAAGCCTAGGAACACTAAGGATTGCTGGTAGTCACCAGAAGCTGGAAGAGGCAAGAAATATATCCTTTCCAAGAGCTTTCAGAGAGAGCGCCATTCTGCCAACACCTTGATTATATGCTTCAAGCTTCTAGAATTGTGAGATAATAAATTTTGTTGTTATAAGCCACCTAGTTTGTGGTCCTTTGTTATGGCAGCCCTAGGAACTAATAAACATGATGGTACTGGGAAGTGAGATGCTGCTGTGGCAAATATCTAGAAATGTGGAAATGGCTTTGGAACTGGGTAGTGAGTAGAGGCTGGGAGAATTTTTAGGTGCATGCCAGAAAAAGCCTGGGTTGCCTTGAAGAGATTATTGGTAGAAATATTGAAGTTTAAGGAGCTTCTGGTAAGGGATCAGAAAGAAGGAAGGAAAGCTATGGAGAGACCTTTCATTGTGTTAAAGCATATATATATATAAAACCACTAAAAGAATATTGCTAGAAATATGAGCAATAATGGTGCTTCTGGTATAAAGTCCCAGATAGAAATGGGAAACATATTCTTGGACACTAGAGAAAAGGCAATACTTGTCATAAAGTGGCAGAAAACTTGGCTGAATTATGTTCTCCTGTTCAGTGAAAAGTAAAACTTGTAAAAGAGGAACTTAGCTATTTGGCTTAGGAGATTTCCAGGCAAAGCATGAAAGGTGCAGCCAGATTTCTCTTTGCTGCTTACAGTAAGAAAAGAGAAGAAAGAGATACATTGAGAAATGCACTGTTAGGAAAAAATAAACCAAAAGTTGATCATTTGGAAGATTCTTAGGCCATCCAAATAGCATGCTATGGAAAAAGGGCTAAGGTGTAGCTGGACAGCAGTTTGCTATGGACATGAGGTGTGTGATTTAGGGATCCAATCACACACCATCTCAGTAACAACCCACAATAAAGATGGGGTTATCCAGGATGAACCCATGGAACGCCTTCATATCTAACAGTGAGAGATTCCTTGATATTTATGAAAGACTTACAAGGTTTTTGAGAATTTTATACAAGCAGAAATTTTATACAAGACAAAATGAAGGTGGAATGACTTTTGAGGTCAGAGCCATGGACGCAGAGGCCAGAGATAAAGGAGTTCCTACCTCAGAGGGCCAAGAGGTCACAGCATCAAGCCACCAAGGATTACTCTCAGGCTTTCAAACCTGGGAGAATTTGCAGTGCTGGTTGTGAACCTGCTTTAGACAAAAAAGTAAGTCCTTTATTTATTCTAATTTTTTAGTTTAGGAATAGTTATGTCTGGCCTATGCCTGTTCCATCAGTGTATTCTGAAAGCAGGGAACTTGTTTTCTAGGTTCACAAATCTGTGGATGGAGAATAATTTTCCCCTGGAATGGACCACACCTAGAGTTCACCCATACTTGGTTTAGATTATTTAGATAACAATATTTGGAACTTTATTATGTGGGTGTTTAAGTGAGATTTTGATTTAGAGTTAATCCTGGAATGGGTTGAGTAAGACTTCGAAGATATGGGGATGTGGTGAATATATTTTGTGCATGGGACAGGTGTCAGTTTTGGGGAAGCAGAGAGCAAACTTTACTGGGTTGAATAGTGTTCTTCCCAAATTAATATCCACCCGGAACCTCAGAATGGGACCTTATTCGGAAATTGAATCTTTGCAGATGTAATTAAGATGTATATTAAAATGAAGTCATATCAGATTAGGGTGGGCCTTAAACATGATTACATTAAAGGACCAGGAGAGGGCACACAGGGAGAAACTCATTTGAAGATTGCTGGCAACCACTAGAAGCTAGAATAGGCAAGGAAGAATTCTGCCATGAAATGTTTCAGACAGATCATGGCCCTGCTGACATTTTGATTTTGAACTTCTTATTTCCATAAATGTGAGATAATAATTTTCTGTTTTTATAAGCCATCAGGTTCATGACACTTTGCTGCAGCAGTCTTGGGAAGCTAATACACAATTAGTTGTGAGAAACACTTGTCGAACATAGGAACACGTAGGATTGAAAGCTCATAAAAGTTCACAGGAGAACAGTCTAGGCAAGTGGATTAAATGCACAAGGGTTATGGGAATTAAAGAGGTTTCCAAGTGACTTCTCCTCATGTGTGATGTGGTAGGAGGTTGGAAATAACACAACTGTATAACTGATTTAGTGAGGAAGCTTTGGTTTGGAATTTAGCTTGCTACCTAATGGGAACTGATTACATGTCTATTTATTTTTCATCATTTGTATTCCTTAAGTTTTCTTGATAAATAAGAGTGATATCTTTTCTTTTCAATGTCTAGGGGACTCTTAGCTATTTTATGTTCATGGCAGAAATTCTGGCATGTTTTGTTATTGCTAAAGCTGATATTATAGAAATACATTCTTATCGTATTTCATAAAATCTTTCATATTTGTTATTTTCACAAAATGTTGCTATAAACTTGAAAAATAGAGGTGAGCAAAAGGAAATGTATAGCAACAAGGGTTAACACATACGAACACACATTATCGTTTGTGTCACAGCTTGAAGCTTCAAGAAGAAGAGTTGGAGATATATTAGTCTTAGATGGAGACTAGTGTGCAGGCCATTTATTAGGGAGTGGTCTTGGGGTCAACACTTGTGGAAGGGAGGGAAAGAAAGCAGAACTGGGTAGAGAGAGAAGCTGAAGTCTAATCAATCAACCAACCTGATGATAAGCTCTGGATCTGGGATGGCCTTTCAGGATTGTCCCAAGTTGAAGCAAGAACAGGCACCCCTCAATTTTTGTATATGAGCTACTCTTGGAAGGAGTTATCATCTTGGACCTCCAGTTTTCTTTTGCCACAGCAATCCCCAAAGAGGACTGAGAACCGAGGACTGTCTTCCTGCAGCACTTCTAACAGCTGGGGGAACAAATCTTCCATTCCTGGAGAAGAAATCTGAGTGGTACTTTGCAGCATCTAGCACATATAGATACAGAAAATTGAGTCAGTCATACCCCTCAATTCAGCACTTTATCACCATCCTTTCTGCAACATCCCCTTTCTTTTCCTTTTTTTCCCATTCAGTTGACTCCCAAAACTATTCTTTGTCCCTGATATGTTTGGTATATAACCTTGGACATGTATGTATCTTTGAAAAATATATGATTGTTTTGTATATCTATGTGTTTAAATTTACATCAGTGGTATTGTGCTATAGTTTTTTTTTCTCCCATTTTCTTTCAAAATTACATCAGTGATATTGTACTACTGCTATCTACAATTCTGCTCATTGATTTTTTGATCAACATTATGTTCTTGAGATTTATCCACCTCATTGTACATTCATCTAGTACATTGCTTCCAAATGCTTCATTTCTACTTACCTATCTTTTTGTCTTGGTTTTTTTTTTTTCCCTTAGGCTCTGGGGTGTTTTTATATTTACCTATCTTTTTAAGTAATGAATACCAAAGTTAATCCCAACTACCATAACCAATGTTTGTACATGTTCCCACTATGTGAAAAGCTTTTAAAAAGTGTATTTCTGGCTTAAAGTGTATTCATGTATTAAACTAACTGCTATAACAGATAACTCCTGAAATATCAGTGGCTTAACATAATAACAATTTCCCACTCACATAAAGTCCAACTGTCAGCAGGGGGCTGGGGCAGGGTCCATGAAGTCATTCAGGAACCTAGGCTGTTGGAAGCTCTGCCATTTTTTACTGTGGTTTTAAATGTCACTATCCAGCCAACTGTGAGGAGAGAAAGTAAAGGAATGATTGGGGGAATTTTTACAGGCCAAGCCTGAAAGTGGTGTATATCATCACTCTAGGCTAAAAGTCATATGATTGCACCTCACCAAGAGGGAGCCTGGGAAATACGGTCTAGCTGAGTGTCTAGGAGAAAAAAAAATAGGTTTGTTGAATGTTTGGCCAGTTTCTGCCATAGTTCACTTTTCTAGTAAATGGTGTATGTTTTACTCTTCTCACCCATAAGACATACCTTAAGAGAGACTGCTCAAAGTATCCTTCTGTCAGTGCATCCAATTTAGTTCTAGGATTTCCTAGTGATACATAGTCCTTTCAGTCATAGGAGTGGCTTCTTGTGGTCAAGCCACCCATGAACTAAAGAGATAAATTATTTGCCTGTATTCTTATTCCTACTCCCACATACCTAATACATTCATTAGGGACAGGGCTAGATGGCTACAGTTAGAATTCTTATCTTGAAAAGAAAAAAATTGGCAGACACATAGTAATTGCTGGTTCATTCCAATGATAGAATCCTCTGAGGCATGCATTGTGAATTCCTCTTACCTGGGGTGTGGGGTAATTTGTAATTAGAACTGGGTTCTACCCGGGAGGTGAAGGTTGCAGTGAGCCAAGATCACGCCACTGCGCTTCAGCCTGGCAACAGAGCAAGACTCTGTCTCAAAAAAAAAAGAACTGAGTTCTAGTCCCTTTGAGGCATTCCCTTGGCCACTGTTTTTCACGGTTCTTGCGTTTTACCTCCTGGATGTTCTTCCTTGTCTATTTTTCACGGTCATACCTGAAGAGGTTGTTGAGGAATACGTCGTTGGAGACTGCACAGCTTTCTCAGCCAGCTCTCAGCTATGCAAATTTCAGGAACTGATTTGTTTTGTTTTGTTCTTGAGACTGAGTTTCCCTCTGTCGCCCAGGCTGGAGTGCAGTGGTGTAATCTCAGCTCACTGCAACCTCTGCCTCCGGGACTTAACTGATTTTTGTGCCTTGGCCTCCCAAGTAGCTGGGATTACAGGCATGCGCCACCATGGCGGGCTAATTTTTGTACTTTTAGTAGAGATAGGGTTTCATCATGTTGGCCAGGCTGGTTTTGAACTCCTGACCTCAAGTGATCTGCCCACCTTGGCCTCCCAAAGTGCTGGGATTACAGACAAGAGCCACCGTGCCTGGCCTGTTTTGTTGTTGTTTGTTTTTTGTGACAGGGTCTCACTGTGTTGATCAGGTTAGTCTTGAACTCTTGGTCTCAAGCAGCCCTTCCACCTCAGCCTCCCAAAGTGTGAGGATTACCTGAAGTTTATTTTAAGACTAGAATAGTCAAAAAGTTATTTTTAGTCCAGATTCTGTTATTGACTCCATTTGTTAGTTTTTGTATTTGGCAAAATAATTCCTTTAAAAACTTAATAGTTTCTGATCAATTTGCTTCTAGTCAATTCCATATGTCTGT